CCCGCCGTTCCCCGCAGAGCAAGCAGGAGATCCACCGCCGCTCCGCGCGGCTCAGGAACACCAAGTACAAGTCGGCGCCCGCCGCGGAAAAGAAGGTTTCCACGAAGGGAAAGGGCAGGAGGCACATCTTCAAGCTGAAGAACGTAAGTCGGTGTGTGGCGGGGCGGGGCGGGGACGGGAGAGGGTCGGGAGCCTGTGCCGGGCTGGGGCGGACCCGGAGCCCGCAGGAGGGGCTGTAAATACAAACCGGTCACGAGAGTTCTGTGCTCGCTTCTCCACCTAAAGTCCTGGGGATGAAAACTGAAAACGCTGTTGTTTTCAGTTTTAAAGTAAAAATTCTTGTGTTTATATTTTTCTTAGAGAATAATACATCAGTATGTTGTCTAAAAAGAAAAAAAAATCCTGGTATTTTATGGTTGCTTGGTTTTAACGCTCTTGATTTTCTGTTTCTATGTTCTTTTCTTAGCCCATCAAGGCTCCTGAGTCCGTATCCACTATAATTACAGCAGAGTCAATCTTTTATAAGGTATGGTTAATGCAAATCTGTTGGCAAAAAAGATCATGCTGTTTCTATTTCGAATTTCAAGAATTATCACAGATAGTGAAAGCACTAGGGATATATTCACAGAAACTGTTCTTCCTTGCCTAGCAGTTGTGTAGGATTTTGTTTTGCCTTAGTTATTGCTTTTAAGTCTTGCAAGGTAGTTTACCCAAGTAGTTTACATAGTTACCGTTGTCCCATTTGTTGTTTTTTCTTTCAAGAAAAAGATGCATCTGGTTTCCTTAGTAATTTTTGCAATCAACATTTTTAAACTTTTTGATTTTCACATTGCAGAGGTCAAGCAAAACTTGACTAGAGCTGACTGTGTAGATTTGTGTAATGTTTCCTACCTTAGGCACAGAGGATATTCCCCATAGAGGGGATGAGCTGCAGTGCCCCAACATCTAAACTGGTTCCTGTTTCCAAGCTGATGGAAGCAGTCTCAAACACCCTGGGAACAAGATCTGTGGACTTCTGCAATGAAAGCAGAAGGGGGACTTCTCACATCATTCATGCTTGAGGGCAGCTTCACCAGCATGCCAAGATGTTAGGGTTTCGAGGTTCTGAAATTCGCTTGTTTCCCAGCAGTACAAGCAAACAATTTGAATTGTTTTTCCCCCCAGAGAAAATTTCAGGATAGTCAGTGGAAGACTGCGCAGCCAGTGGTGGACTGAGATTCTATATACTCTCTAGGGACCTGATGCTTCACACCTGACATCCCAGATGAATGTTTGCTGTTGACTGGTTCAGAAAAGAATTACTGACTTGTGTGTTTTTAGCAGAAATTCCTAAGAATTATAACAAAACTTCAACTTAACCTCCATATGCAAAATATTGCTGGTTTGGTATTTTACTGTGTTGTTGTGAAGGGGATTTTTGGGGGGGTGTTGTGTTCTTTTTATCTGTTTTAAAAATAAAAAACAACCCTCCTGGATGATTCTTGACTAACTGATCTTGACAGTGCAGGGGCTGCTCTGGGCTCTGCGACGCCGCTGCAGCTCGGAGTGAGTCGCCTCTGATGTGCAGCCTCACGTGTTAGAGAGCACCATGGGAAATGGCAGGATCTGTGTTTTGGAACTCTTTTGCACTCAAATGAGTGAACTTCTTCATACACAGAAAGCTGCTTCCCCTGCACACACAAGGAAACCACTACAGTTGCTTTTCCTAGAAGTGGTGTTGCACTCTTCTGCTTTTGACGGAATGAGACCACCTCTGCTCTGCGGTCAGGAGTTGTAGCCTCAGACTCCTGGATACTGGGGGACTGCACAAGCAGTGCTGATGAGTGGTTAGGTGAAACAGCTCTCTTTCTTAGGCCACCCTTCTTTTGCATGTGGCTGAATTAAAGCTGCCTTTCAAGACTGGCGTGATTTGAGATGAACTTTTAGGTATCAATACCTAAAATATGAATCAGAATCACAGAGTGAAGCTGACAAAATCAGGTTGTTTGATTTCAGTGTAATTTGTTTGTCTTCTAGGGTGTATACTATCAAATTGGAGATGTTGTCTCAGTGGTTGATGAGCAGGATGGAAAAACGTATTATGCTCAGATCCGTGGGTTTATTCAGGACCAATACTGTGAAAAGAGTGCTGCACTAACCTGGCTCATTCCTACACAAGCCAGCCCCAAAGACTGTTTTGACCCAGCATCCTATATCATAGGTAATTTCTAAGCCTTCACTTTACACAAGTATTGTATGTGCCTAGACTAATGCAGAATTGTATTTTTTAAATGAACTTTATAGCTTCTCATTTAATTTGTGCCACACTCATTTAAGTTCCACATTTAAGACCCTAATCCTGTAAGCATTTACTGTAATAGCATTTATCTTGTGTGAATAATATCATTAGCACTACTGCAGTGAGTGTGATTATCTTGTACTGTGATTATCTGAGTGTGCTCATGGGGGCAGTTACACTTTTGGGACTTTAAAGATCAAATTATTATTCCATAGATAGTTTTAGACTGTAGTAACTTTGATTCTGATATACCAGTCCAAGTTGTTTCTTTTAAAGTTACCTGATTTACCTGATCTTTATCCTGAGTATGTAAAATACACTGTGTGCAAGCACTGGCATAGAGAGTGTTTTGCTAACAATAAGAAAACTATTAATAATTCAGAAAAATCCTTTTGACAGGCAGGCCACAAATAGCATTCAAAATAACATACGTTGAAAATAACTACAGTACTTCACATAAATAACTGAATGCTTCAGATGAAGGGGAAAAAAAAGACCAGCCCAACAAAAATTAAAGGTAGATGTTCCTTGCCTAGTATTTTAGGCCCCTTGGCCAGGAAAGTCATTGATTGCAAAGGCAAATTCTCTAAATGTTGTTGTTGCATATTTTTGAGTCCTGCATACTCCAACTTTATGCCTTTAAATTTTATCTTTGATGATTTATTTTTTTCCTAGGACCAGAAGAAGATCTCCCAAGGAAAATGGAATATTTAGAATTTGTTTGTCACGCGCCTTCAGAATATTTCAAATCTCGGTCATCTCCCTTCCCCACTGTTCCTACAAGGCCAGAGAAGGGCTATATATGGACTCATGTGGGACCTACTCCTGCAATCTCCATTAAAGAAACTGTTACCAATAATTTATAATTTTTTTTAAGGAATACTTCGGACAGGTTATTTTGTGTGTATTCTCAGGCCTGTGAGCCTCATACAAGAATTTTTAAAAAATTATAAAATATGCCATTTTACTTTATGGATTACAGGATTTATTTATTTTAAATATATCATATCTTTAAAGAGGAAGTTTCCATTCCAGTTTATGCATCATTTCAGTGCTCTGCTCTTCAGACATTATTGCTCATTTTGGGACAAACCCACAAGTTTCATGTCATCTTTTGACTTCTGAAAGTTGCCTTCAGTTTTCTTACTTTCTAAATTATTTTCCAGAAAAGGAGTTAAAAGACATAATCATCCAGCACTTTTTATACTTGTTTAATTTAGTTAACTGTGACTGTAGTTATTTACTTGTTAAATAATTTAAGACTAGCTTCAGATAAACACTAAACATGGTCAGTGATGCAGTTAATGATTTTCTGTTACCTGGAAAGGAGTGATCTACCTGGATTTCTCCAGACTGAAAACTCTCATCCGCAAGGAGGGACTTGTATTTAACAGTCATCTTTTAAGGTGAATCTGAATCTGAAATGTAATGTATGTAGCTTTCTGCTGAACTTTACATAAATTTCTTGGAAAGTTGGATGCAAATTTAAAAATTAATGTTATTTGGCTTTGCCATCCTGGCATCCTCATGGCAGGAATGTATCTGCATTTCTGGAGGAAGCCAACACTGAGGTATGATTTGAGTTTCAGATGGTTAATATTTGTATGCACGTTAGCTTGGTCTCTTAAAATTGATCTTAAAATGTTTTTTCAGTCTTTCCAATTAATGATGACTAAAAAAATCCTCAAGCAATTAAAATGAAAAAAACACATTTATTAAGGGAAATAAAAACTAATTTTATGTATTGACAGTCTCAGTATATAAATGAAAATATGTAAATAGCAGAACAGGAGAAATTACACATACTAATGCCCAAGTTTTCTGCCCTAAACCTTTTTTAAACCAGTCAGCTCCAAACACTATTAGATGTGCTTGTATGGCCTAAATTCCCAGGGCTTACTGGTTCCTGCTGCCTGTGAAGGATAATAGCTGTAAGTGGCCTTAGATTTAAATGTACAGATCTCTTCAGCTTTTTGTTTTCTTTTTATGAACATATGTGACCGTAGCACCCAGGAGCCCCAAACAATTTCAGTATATTGTATGAAAGCCTGTAAAAGTTGCACTGGGCTTATGTTTTAACTTTTAGTACAGTGGGACTCATGAGAGCAGGAAGCAGATATTGTTTCAGCCTGTAGCCTCTGTTATGCCCTCTTCAAATACCAGGAAGAACAGTCAACCTTAAGGGAATAGGTGCTAGTTTACTGTCAATAGTTCAAAATGTTCAGAATTTAGCAGTATATTGCTAATAGAGAGTTAAATCTTAATCTTCAGTTTCTTACAAAGATGAGATGTGCGCCCATGTTCAGTGTGTTGCAGAAATTAATCCCAAGGTGACCTTACTCCTGACCTTCCTCTCTGTTCTCTCCTTTCACTTCCTCTAGATTTTTTTCTGATTTATCTTTATTAAATTAACAACTATAAGAAGATAAAAATAACAACTCTTAAAAGATATGTATAGTAACTAGAATGATTTCCTCCACTCAAGCGTTTTCCTTCCTTTCTCTGCAGTCCACAGGGTTTTCACTTGGGATCACTGTAAAGTCGCTGTGCTGCCTCGGCATAATCCATGGACCTTTGCTTTTCTGTGGACTGTCTTAGTTAGATTGGAATCATATCTTACCTGATTTATTTAGGTTGAAAAAACCTTTAAGATCATTGAGTCCAGTGAAGCTCAGGTGCTTTCCTTGTCAGATCCTCATAGGGATAGGGGAAGAAAACAATGCTTTCATTCACAGAATCGACTAGGTTGGAAGAGACCTCTGAGATCATCAAGTCCAACATCTGACCTAACACCACCTTGAAGTTTTGCTTTTTCGAGCTACACCACATGAAAAGTACTTGCTTACCCTTTGCCTTATTTATCAATAAATTGTAATGTAAAAGGAACAATTAATTTTTAATCAGAATACACCTTTCCTTAATTTAGTGCTGCTGATGATTCCAAGTATTATAGTTCCAACTACAGTCTAAAAAGACAATTTTTTTTTTCGGAGAACTATGGAACAACTTCCCTTAGTAAACACAGAGCATTTTTATTTTAGTTTTTTATTATACAGGGAAATGTAAAAAAAATAATACAAATAGGCAAAAATTATGGTGATAAGATCTTTAAAGAGAGTGGATCTGCAAACAGTGACTGTTATTAAAGCATTATAACTTTATTTATAGGTATTTGAATGGTTGCATTGTCCTGTTTTTCTTGTGTTCAGAACATCACCCAGTTACATGGAGAAACGACTGACCCTCCAGACAGCATCTTAGGGATGGACATAGCTGAAGAATGAGACCTCTGAGAGCAGTGTCTCTCTCTGAAAATTTCCTATGTTAAAAAAATGAAGAACAAAAGGAAGACCTGCAAAATGGACTCAACAGCAGAAGGGATATCAGGATCCCAGGGGATTGTGCTTCGATGCCCTGCAACTGAAGAAGCTGAGCAGGTCACCCATTTCTCTCCCTTTCCTTGTTTGGCATCCCCTGTGCCAAAATGTAGGTAGGTTTCAGACTCGCATCACTGGGCTGTAAGTGGATACACTACTGCTGAATTTATGGCCTTGTGTTAAGCTTCAGAGCTTTGTGACCAGCCAGCAGTTGTTTTCATTAAGGCATTTTAGTTCTAAAGATGGAACATGTAGCTAAGAGCTGAAATCCACGGAGCTTGTATAATATACTGAGTAATGCATAATACATGTGGCCTGTGCCCTGAGGCCTAACACTGCAGCTCCTTCTGCCTGCAGGAAACTTGTGGGAGGAGTGACCCACCCTTTCACCTGAACTTTACCAAAACAATACCTAGTGGAGAGCAGTTTGCATTTGGGCAATGGCTTTGTTGGGAGCAACTGTCTTCTAGGACAAAGTGATGCAAAGGCAATGGATAAATAAGCATGTGGCTCCTTGGGCTCCTTTTGAAATGAGGCAAGGATTCCCCTCTTGCTGTCGTACTGTCCCCCACAACAATCATCTCAGTCACCCTGGCAAAGTTTGGATACACACAAAACCCAGGAACTGACCCCCACGGTTTGGACTTAGCCATAGGTATCCAATCCAATCCAACAGCCTTGCTTTGAGGTAATGCAGCCTTATGAATATTATACAAGAAGCAAAGAGCACAATTTATTGTGATTGGCAATATATTGTATATTATGATAAATAAACACCTTAAATGGTCTTACAGAACTGAGAACAAAAATATTAATATAGTATTGTAGTTTCAACTGCTCTTTACACTTACTGAATTACAAAGATCAGAAAAATCATAATTTTATTCTATTTTCACACAGATAGAATTGGTACATCTCTTAGCTAACAGAGTACATCTCTCCAAAATTATAAATGAGCATTATGTTCAAGCAGAAATACTTTTACAGTAGTTAATAGTTGTTAATAGTTATTTTTGTGTGCCCCCCACCACAGTCTTGTGATCATTGACAACAGAATTTTGTATTTGGCAACTGTCTCACCCACACAGTCACACTCATCTTTTGGAAAATTGCTTTCTTTTTTTTTTTTTTTCAGCCCTTCTAGCTGGTGATTTGTTATTCTTGCATTTGGTTTACAGCTTCGGTGAGATTTTTTTTCTTTATTTCAGTAACTTCAGTCTCAATAAGAACTTCTTCATGGATGACATCTCCAGGTGGTTCATGCATCTTTATGAAACACTGAAGTACTTTGATGTCTGTTTAACAAAACAGAAGTAGAACTGAATTCTAGTTGTAGACAGACAGGTTGGTTGTACCTGAAAATACCAAGATTATCCTGTGCTGGGCATTGCCCCTGTAGCTGACCCAGAACAGTAAACTCAGGCATCTGTTTGCTTACATATGACAATTTGGGCTCCTGCAAAATCTTCTGAACTCCTTCATTTAGGGAGAACAAAGCAGGAGTGTTCCTCTTTTTTCATGAAGCAGTTTAAGTTTTCTTTAGGGGCAAAGCTGCATTCTTTGGAGGACAGCAGGAACACAATCTGTGTTCAGTGTCCTTGTGTCCACTTCCTTCCTGAAGACCACCCCCTCTGCCTTTTTTGGTGTAATGTACCTTGCTGTAAACCAGCCCTGTCAGCTGATGCAGGTTCAAAACACACACAAGCTATTTTTTTTTTCTTAACATAAATCTTTCTCTAGGGAATTTCAGTAGGAATGTTTATTTTTGTCTTCAGAAGGTCAAACTCTGATAATCCTTTTCAATGTTTGTAGTATCCTACACAATTGATATACCCTTTCATTCTGATTAGGTCACATTTAGATAAAATCACATGGTAAGGCTGCTTGTGGCAGTGAATCTGAATTATGTAAGCAGAATTTGGGAACCCCTTCTTTCCCAAGCCTAGATTTCAGTAGACCATTAAGAACCAAAGCAAAGATAATCTGTTCTTTTAATCAGTGTGCCCTTCTCAGGAGTATCTATTTCCCAAATTGTGGGAATCTATGTAGGGAATTTTCTAGTTACCTCTCCTCAAGGAGTTAGGACATGGCAGAGTGAAGATGTCATCTTGCTCATCCTGCATACGGAGGTAGAATTCCAGGAGATCTTCCCTGTTCGCTTTTCTGGTGGGATGCCTGTTTCCCCGAGATCTTTCTAACCCATCTTCTGTTTCACTGATGCTTGTTTTGGACCGGGTTGTTTTTATCACGTGTTTCTCACCTTCCAAAATGTCACAAAAGAGCTACTTACCATGAACTTCAAGGTGAGAATCAACTGTAGCAGCATAATGAGTGACCAAGGGAAAGCTTCATCAATGCTGCTCAAAAAACAAAGCCTGTGAGATCTCCATGATCTCTGTGCACCTATTGGTTCAGTGCTGGGTGCATAAACCAGCTATAAAGTCTGGCTGCACAAAGTAGTCATGGCATAAGTGTTTAAAAATTAAATGCACATTCAACAGAACATCATCAAAGGTTATAAGCAAATAAAAGGTAGTAAATCTTACTGAAAATCTTACCTGTGTTCATCTTCTCATACAACCAAGAGTGGGATGGTCATACAGAGTGTGAGAAAGCAAAGCCTTTTGTGTCAGGAGAATCAATAGTTCTCCATGGTGCTGATCCTGATAACTTCTGTTTCACTCTTCCTGCTTCTTTAGATCTCTGTTTCTAAAGTGCTTTGTAACAGACTGCTGCTAGGCAAGATAACAGATTTGTCCCTTTTCATGAGAAGTTGACTGCAAACTGTGGAGGAAAAGGAAGTAAATTTGGCATTTTATTGTTGGCCAAAACAAAACCAAAAGCAACCGCTTCATGCCTGATAGGTTTGCAGAGCCTGACTAGGTCTTAATTGCTCTTTTGGTAAGTGGAAATGATATGTTGAAACTTAACATATCCATATAAGGCTATACCTAGAAATGAATACTGTGGGACAATGACAGGAACGCATTGCAATATGCAGCTTCAGTAGGCTTTCTAATCAAGCTTAACCTGTTTGGCAGGACTAACAGCTCACCCTGAATAAGTTGAGACCATCAGAAAAGAAACTAAAACATTCACCTCAGCTTTCAGTTACCAACGATATTTTTGACCAACTTACTGCAGTACTTCAAGGCAGAAGAAAGTCTTATATGTCTCTTATTAGTGTAGAACTCAGTGCAAGATCTGGGGGAACTCTATTTCACAGATCTTTTAACAAGACAAAAGAAAAAAAATCACATTACCGCCATAAAGGAGTGGCATGTGTGATACACCGTTGCCATTCTCATGTAGAGCAAAGATCCCTCTGTTGATCTGTCTGCATCAACCATCTGCTCCTTGGTCAGACCAACTGGGAACGGAGGCAGAAGTTTCGAGTTAACATAAGAACAGATATTTTGGGGCAAACCTAAACGCTGTGTAGAAGTCCACCTCCAGCGATGGCCAAATCCCAGCTTCTGATGCGTCTGGAAGGGTATTAAGACTGTGGGAATCACCGTATTACTGCCTGAAACACATTTCAGAGGTGCATGTTTAGGGCTCCTCAGCAGACTGAAGCACTTTTCCAGTTCTGCTGTATCCTTTTTGATGCAATGGGACATGAACAGTACATAACCTTCAACAGCACACATGCAGGAACAGCAAGGGGTTTTTTTGAAAAAACAGAATACTTCCTGAAGTATTTTCTATTTCTTTTCTTATAATTTCTAACATGCACATTCTTTTTAACAACAGGCTCATATTTCATGGGGGATTATCACTGAAGAGTAATGAGCATTAGACCCTATAATATTTTTTCTTTGCTTTTATCTAATAGGAAATTTCATCTGCCAAGTGCAGTCAGCAAGTTTTGTGAAGGTCTTCTGTAGTATTTTATTACCAACCCTTGTTTTTACAGGCCCGAAAAGCTTACTCATTAGGGGTTTTTGCTGTTTCACTGTTCACTCCCTATCAAGATCAGGTGAGGATTTTAAACACCACTGATCTCTCTACACAGCACTAGTGTGACACATCCACAGTGCTGGGACACAGGTTCTGTGCTCTGCAGAACAAGAAAGACATGGACACACTGGAACAAGTCCAGCGAAGGGTTCTCAACAACAATTAAGGGACCAGAACATCTGAAATACAAGGAGAGGGTGAGAGCTGGGACTGTTCAGCATGGAACAGAAATGACTCAGGGGGGGATCTTATTGGAGTATATAAATACTGGACAAAAGCATTTACCAAAAGTATAGGGATCCACAGCGAGACAATCCTACTGTGCCTCTATAGCAGCAGTCTGTTAATTTTGCAGTTCTAGTTTTCTCTCACCAAATCTAAATAATTGAGCAAACAAAGAATTAATTCTGCAAATATTTAAAAAAACTCTCCAACAAATATCAAAAACAAAGCAAAAAAGTCCCCATACAATGCTGTCAATTGAGCATACATTACAGATCTCCAAGGGGGTTTTATAGTTAATGTATGAAAATGCTATCCAGTCAATACAGGCACACAGAAATAATCTGAAAGGGAGCTGAGGGCAAAAATCTAAATGCTTCCTCAGAAAGTACTCGCTTAGCATGATATACAAAAAGATATATATATTACTTGAGAGTTGTGTATGTTTAGAGAGAGCTCATGAGTATAAAAAATATTTTGCCAGACACAAAAGTGTAGCAAAATTGGAGTATTCCCTGATTCAGTACTCTCAGTATTCTGATTAAAATATACAGTCCATAATATATGCACAACGATAGCACAAGCTTTCAAGACTAAATGTTTCAACATGGG